TGACGAACGAACGAAACAGGTCTTCTGGAGTTTCAAAAACATCCACATGGACGCCACCATCATCACAAGAGATATCAGAACCATCGGTGGCTACTCCAAGCAGTACGAGGTACAAAAAGTCGTCAAGCGTTCCAACAACCGTCATTTTGATCTGGTCATAAAGCACGTGGTGATGCTCTCTGCCGGCATATACACTTGCATAGATGCTGGTGACAATGAGCAGGGTCAGGCCTCGCTCACGATTATAACGGTGCCCAGGTGTTTTCAGATGCCCAAGTTGTTTCAGTGTAATTATTTGATCGGTGGTGTTTATGATCTAAGAACTAAGTGGGCATGTAAGCATGATCACGATAAAGTTGAGGAGAAGAATGAATCACCCATGAAAATTTCTTGGATCAGTTTGCATGGGAGGAGTTCCATCACAGTTTTCAACGTCAGCACCAGCGCTAAATATGCAAAGCAAATAAACTTCTGCAATCTGACGATCAGCTCCAAAAAAGAAAAACTTAAATACGCCGGATCTTTTGATTCGGTGGATGAGGGGAAGAAATATCCCGATTTTTTTCACCTACTACATCCCATTCAAAAAGTTGAACTGAACATCACCGACAGCTTCAACCTCCTCGTCAACCAGACGATCCACTGTCAGACGGACAGCCCCATAAGGGTAAAGTATGAAATCAGAATAAAGCAATCTGGACAAAGACCTGTTGTAATTTCTTCCAACAAAACTTCCATCTCAACTCCAGGCGTGTACGATATTGTATGTCAAGCCAAAAATTCTTTGAACACTGATTGGTTGACGCATTCGGTCACAGGGGTCAAAGTTGTGGTTTTCCACAATCGGACCAAGTGTATTGACGATTCCAAAGTTTGCACGAAATCACTTACAAGCGTCTTTTTATCTGGAAAGTTCAAAATGTTGAACAAAGTTGATCACAAATTGTTCTGTTCTAAACATTCATTCATTATAAAATGCGTGGAACACTTTCTGCCGTGTGACAGACCGCTCTGGATGGTCAACTTGATGAAGGCGTTTCAATTCTATTGTAAAGGTAAGTACAAAAGAGCGAAGATGCTAGAAGTGTCCATTGACGAGAAGTACCCGCAACTTCTTCCGAAAAAATATTTAGTAAGGAGAGAATCACTGAGAGAGGAGACGTTGAAGCAGTTCAGAGCCGTCAATACGGACAGTGGTTCAAACTTTGAGAACGAACTTGCCTTAGAAATCGCTCAGACTTACTGCAGTAGGCTCAAATTAACAGCTGACATTTACTACAGGACGAGCACCGTCAATTTAACAGAAACTATAAGAGCTTCAAGTTGGACTTACACGTTTTATTCAACTTTCTACGGTCTCGACGTTAATAATTTTGATCATCTCAGCAATCTGCACTCTGACAAAATCATCAACCTGACGGACTGCAGTTCATTCAAACATCAGTCCAAAGCCACCGACCTCTGCAACCTCATCAAACGTTGCGGTCCAATGCACACTGTCATGCTCTCCATCTACCTCTACGGTTACATCTACATCAGAGACCTGAAGGAGTTTATAAAGAAGTCATGTTTCATGAACGAGTATCAGGTAGATGAATGTTACAACAACCTCCTACAACACTGCGATAGTTTCATCAAAGATCTGACCAGTTCTTTTAAAATTTTAAGAGCCAGGTTATGCGACAGCAGCCTCTTTAAAATTTACAAGCGACACCACGACAAATGCTACACGGACGTTACAAAAATCGCGAGAAACCGGTGGATGAGGAGAGTTAGAGCAAAGGAGAGGCCAACAGTTCGATTCCATCTCGAAATTCCGCTATTAAGATGTGTTTCAAGATTTAGGCGTAAAGCAGAGTACGTAAACCTAATGCTGAACATTAGCAAAACGGAGAGACACACTTTGATTTGCATGAGGGTAAAGCAATTCCTTGACTGCATTGAAATTTTTTTTGAGAAGATTAATGTAATTAGCAGAAGAAAAGTTAGTTGTTTCAAAACTTCTGGAAAATTTCAAAGATATCTTGCTAGACTCGCCATGTCAGAGGCTTTGGGAGGTTTCTACTGTCAAAATACATTTCAACACGCTACACTTGAATTTTTCCAAGATGATGATACAAGCGGAATTGTTCCAAGTGTTTCATTTCGCATGAAAATTATATTTCTTCTACCTTGTTTCGTTTTTGTATTTTAAATGAAATTTGTTAAATATCAATATATTCATTATTTTTAGAGTGTGATAAGATTAAATAAGTGCATTTGTGTTTTTTGTTACTGGGAATCTCATGAATTTGTTTTTAATAAAGCGATTTAAGTTTTAATATATGTATTTTCGAAATGTTTATTTATGATCGTTTTAATTCCTTTTTTCAGTTTTGGATATAGTTAAGCCGTTTTTGTTGAGCGTTTTTGATGGCTTTCCCTCTTACTGCCTCACTTGATTTTTTTGCCATTAGCGTAAATACAATTGAACCTAGTTATATACTCATTGTTTTACATCACACACACACTTCCACAACACACGTACACACACACACACACACACACAAAGCTCACACATTTAACATTTAAACGAAAGAGTAAAAAGAGAAAGAGGAGAGAGAGAAAAGACAAAAATTAAAAACGACAAGAAAAAAGGACAGCATCAGAGAGAGAGAGAGAGAGAGAGAGAGAGAGAGAGAGAGAGAGAGAGAGAAAGAGAGACTGCGTGTGTGTTTGGCTGGGCTGATGTTTGGACAATTGTGAATCTGCATTTTAATATCAAAGAGAGAGAAAGATAGTGAAAAAATATGTATATATTTGTGTATGTATGTGTGTATGTATATGCGTGCATGTATGTATATATATGTAAAAATATGTATACATATATAAATATATAGATATATGTATGGATGTATATATATATAGATGTATGTATTTATAGATGAATGAACATGCACTATGCATGAAAGCGCTTAGGCTTTACATACTAATACATTCATTGTACACAAAATCCATTCAAACTGGCAAGCATTGATGTGGCAACATAAACATCGGACTCGCTTACTTAACCATATTATAAGCTAAGTTAAGGTGGTCACTTTTCCAATCAAATGTCAGATTTTTAAAAAATTTTTTCACTTAATAAGTTTGTTTTATCACTAAAATTAGGTTCCTTTGGAGACTGATTTGTTTGTAAATGCAAATTATTTGATTTTTTTAATCGATGAAATATTTGATAAATTATTTTAAAAATTTAAAAAGGCCATAAAATAAATAAATTCACAAATATTTGATAAATTATTTTAAAAATTTAAAAAGGCCATAAAAATTTCATTAAAATTGCACTCAATCTCTAATTAAAACAGGTAGAAAATTGTAAAGAAATAAATATGGACAGATTGACAGTTTCAATCAATCAGGTAAACTTTGAGAAACAGACGTTGGATGATGACGGCCAGTACGAGGATGAAGTTAGCAAGATAAACTCATTTGGTAATCTCGTATCTTACGACTCTGAATTCATGGGCAGGGAAGCTCTGGAATGCCCGATATCTACCCAGAAGCTGACAGGTAAATAGGATAAATTGATAAATAATTATTTTTAAAATGGCATGTAATTATACAGTAATAATTATTTTAATTGAATATATATCGTTATTGTATTGTATATATATTTGATAAATTTTGGAATGAAACCTTATTTTATATGTATGAATTCTACTAATTTAAAGTTTGTCTTTTCATGTAAGGAAAATTGTAAAGACAAACTTTAAATTGATTAATGCCAACAATTAGGTAGAATTCTTACATTACTGTATATGATAAATATATATACATTTATAAATAATGTATATTGTATTATGTATGTGATGAATTCTATATATATATATATATATATATATATATATATATATATATATATATATATATGATGAATTAAACATATGTCTTGTTTTTCATATATAAAAGTTTTATATATAAAGTGTGTATTGTGTGCGTGTGTGTGTGTGTGTAATAACAAAGTAATGATAATTGTGATTAAATTGTGATGTTGTTATGTTGTCTAGCCGAAGAGTTCAGAAAGCAGCGAGAACAGTATAGCAACATTTATGATTATGAAGATGACGAGGCCCGTGCACGATACAAGGTTTTATTAATTCTTTTTATTATTATTATTGTTGTTATCATTATTGTTGTTGTTGTTGTTTTTATTGTTGTAATTATCATTAATGTTTGTTAATGTCACCAGTTTGTATTTACAAACAATGGAAAAAATGGAATACTGTAATTGTAATCAAACAACAACAACCACAGCAACATCAGCTACAACAGCAGCAGCAGCTACAACAGCAGAAGCAGCAGCTATCTCCAGACCATGTGACCTCTTTCAGGGCTTTTACTGAAACGGTTGAAGCCCTTGCCCTTCAGCAATCTGTCATTGGTCGGTATCATCATCATTACATCAATTAATTAGGGGCATTTCATGTTTGAGCAAAAGTAAAGTTAAGTTTAATTTCTAAAAATATATGGTTTTTCATGTTACTAAGAGTAAGATTAAATTTATAAAATTGATTTTTGGGCTCTTTATTATGATTAAAATAGTGTACAAGTTAGGTGAATTTTGCCAGTAGGATAGTAGAAAATTTCATTTTTGTCCATTCACTTTCCCGCCATTTACTTTCCCGCCATTTATTATCCCGCCATTAAATTCTCGCCGTTTTATTTTTTCACCATGTAGGTGGCGCTAGAATCACTCCGGCGTCTGATGAAGAGGTTGCCAGGGTTGTCATGGAAACCAGGAAGAAGAAGATGACGACGACGATGAAGAAGGAAAAAAAATCTGTCACGTTCAATGACCGCCCCAGCGGGGATGATGATGATGATGATGATGATAATGATGATGACCGGGACGACAGACTAATTAATAATTATAATTATTATATCTATAATAAGGGTGATAATATTGAGAGTAAGAAGAGGGACGACAATTATGACTATGTAAACTCAAGTGTTATTATTGATTACATGAAGGGTAAGAACAATGCAGTGATGGCTGGTGGTTATGATAATAGTGGCGATAATTATAATTATAATAAAAATAATAATTATATTAATAATAATAATAATAATAATGATAATTTTCACCAAAGTGCATCATCAAAGGATGGCCACACATACTACAATATTATATACGCGACTGGTGATGATAATGATACTAATGAATGTGGTGCTAGTACTACTACTACTACTACCACTACTACTACTACTACCACTACTACTACTACTACTGCTGCTGCCGCTACTACTTCTACTGCTTTTACTACTACTAATAATTATGATGATGGTGATGATGGTTTTAATGTTGTTGAGCTTGATGGTGCTAGTAACATTGCACAAAGCAATGTCATTAGCAATAATATCCATAAGGATTGCAACAATAGCATTAATATTAACAATAATAATAACTACAGCAACGATAACGAAGTTAATACAAAAGATAAAAAATTGATAAGGGTTCCTTCGGAGCACATCACCACTGAGAGGCACCAAAAAAACAAATTCACCTGGGGTCCAGCGACTAAAAGTGAACTTTTCAATAACTACATGAGTAAAAAGTCTTCTGCCAGAGTCAGCCAAAAAACTCGGCAGCCAATCAAAACCTCCGAAGATTATATATCAGTACATGAATCTGCTCGAAAGATTAACGACCAGGGTAATTCGTTAGAGGTAATTAATTCCGAAGAGAATAATAATATAAATAATTCACTAAATAATTATAACAATTATGATAATAATTATAATGACTCTCTTGAAGCCAGTTTCAAAATAAATTTGAAGTCTAAAATTAGCTCGCGAGAAGTGGCCGAGATAGTTGAGAGATTCGACAGGTCCATCAAAGAACCTTTCCAAGTTAGGCGCCTCATAAATGACAATGACGTCGTCATGAATAATGATGATAATACTGATAACGATTACTACTACAATGAAGAAGTGAGAAAGTTTAAAATCAAAAAAAGTGAATCAATCATCAGTCAGAACGTCATTCGAATTGATTTGGATAACAACAACAACAACAACAATGATAATAATAACAACAACAATAGTTACATTAACAATAATAATAATAATTACTTTAACATTTGTAAAGAGAAAGCTAATTTAGAAGGTAGATTGGAGGTGCTATTAGCCGAGAATAGGAAACTCTCGGAGGTCAGGCTGCAACTGATGGCCAAAATTGACGAATTGTCCGCTGACAACAATAACAAAAATAATAATAATAATAACAATAATAATAATAATAATCTTATTATGGAAATTGAAAATTTGAAGGCTAATAAAATGAGGTATAGTTTTTTTTCAAATTCGACGCTAATGTCTTGCTGATCTATCTATGCCAATTTTTGAATTGATTATTCGTTCTTTCTTTCTTCAATTCATTCATTCATTCGCCTATCTATCTTTCTATCTCTTCATTTACCTATCTCTATCCATTTATTCATCCATCTATCTATTCATTCGTTTATTTATTTATTCAGCACACACACGCACACACACACACACTCATATGTACACAACATAAAAAACACACGAACACAGAAACACACACACATCCATTCATCCATCCATTCATTCACCAATTCATTCACCAATTCAATTCATCCTCCAGATTGGAAACAGTGATAATGGAGGCACACAAATTGATAACAGAGAAGGACGAGGAGGTGCAGGTCGTGACTTGTGAGTTGAACAGCTACAAGGAGGTGGTCCGGAAGGTGGAGAAGCAGGCGGCTGACTTGAAACAAGAGGTTAGGCATTTTTGGGGAGGATCGGATTTAGAAATTGAGATTTGAAATCTGGTATTTCCATTTTTTTTTCTTTTCTAATTTTCCATTTTCATTTTTTAATCCTATAAAATCCCTGCATTTATTTCAAGTAGAGCACACACATACATATGTCTGTACCCACACGTACACACGTACACATACACACACGTACACACACAAATACATACACACGTACACACACAGCTTCATTCTCGCGATGTCATTATCCGCGATCTGAAGACGAAAATTACCGAACTGTACGTTGAATTTCAAACGACCAATCAGAGCAGGATCTTGTCGGAAAATGACGTGACGTCATTAAGGGGGGAACTTAATGCTGCCCTCGCCTCTAAGGAATGGTATAAGGTCGGGGTGTTGCTGTTTTTCAGAAATTGCACTATAAAAATAAATTTTTTTTGATTGGGTATTGCGGTTGGATCTCTCTCCAACAAATAATTGATTTGCAAAAAAAAAACACACACACACACACACACACGCCCACAGAATCAGCTGTTGTCTTGTCAAAAGGAGAAAAATCATCTTCAAGATGACGTCACGAACACGAAGGCCGCCATGATTAAGCAGGCGACGACTATCGAGAAATTAAAGGTGGAAAATGTTAGGATGAAATCGAGTCTCAGTGAGGTTAGAAATGATCTTTGTGTGTCTGTGTGTGTGTGTGTGTCTGTGTGCGTGTGTCTGTGTTTGTGTGTGTATGGGCGTATGTGTGTTTCACGATTCACAATCCTTTTATTAACCGAACCTCTACAGTTTAGACCTTGGCGGTCTGGGAGGTTGATAATATTATTAGTCATTGTGTATCTGGGTGGGATCGTGTGTGTGGACGCGTGTGTGTGTGTGTGTGGGCGCGTGTGTGTGTGTGGGCGCGTTTGTTTGTCTATATATATATATATATATATATATATATATATATATATATATATAACTAGTATATCTGAAATTAAAAATATATTTATACGTTATAATACATGAATGTTTGTTCCAGACGGAGCAGAAGTTGCTATCAGAGAAGCAGTTGATGGCCAGGCACTTGGAATCTATCGAGATGGAGTTGATGCAACGCGAAGCTTCTCTGCTACAATCCAATAAGGAGTACCTATCTATAAATTGTAACAAAGTAAATGGGCCACTGGATGTGGCGAGTGGTGATGCTGTTGCTGCTGCTGCTACTGGCGCTACTACCGTTGCTTCTTCTGACGATGTTAATAGAAATAATAATAATAATAATAATTTCGCTGCTACTGATATTGAGGATGATGACTTCAAAATGAAATTTAAATCATCGATGGATGAATTAGAAGATAGAAAGATGGATCTTCTGAAACTTCAAACAGCGTATAAATACCTAACCGAAGAAAATACCGATCTGAAAAGGAGATGTACCGACTTACAGGGATGTGCGGCCGATAAAGAGATGCTACTGGCTGAAGCAGACGACAGATTGTCGAGTTTGAGGGAGGAGGCCGAGAACTTGAAATTAGTGATCAGGCAGTGTGAGGACCAGTTGACAGTCCTTCAACACGAGAAAGATATTTTGCAGGTAGTGTTTGTGTGTGTGCGCGTGTTTGTGTGCGTATGTGTGTGCGTGTGTGTGGGTGGAAATTGTTTCTTCATAACTTCACTGAAGAGATTTTTTTTATGATGCAGATGGATTTGAACTCAACGAAGGAGGAGAAGAGGATCATAGATGACGCCCTGACATCTTTGAAGGAAAATTTGAAAGTCGTCGAAGTTAACTTTAATCATATGAAGGTCGAACTACTGGCCAAAAATGACGAAGTCTCTCTTTTAAAAAAGCAATTAGAAGATGCTAATCAACAGCAGCAGCTGCAGCAGCTACAACAGCTGCAAGACGGGCAAATTTTGAAAAGTAATTCTCAGCAGTTGAAATTTGTTGAAATCGAGAATGCCAACTTCTCACTCGATCATTCGCCATACTCGTTCCACAGCTTGAAGATGAATAAAAAATTTGAAGAGAGACACACACAAACGACCACAACCAACTCTAATGATGGTATCATGTTCGACACACACCTGCAGCAGCTACAGCAGCAGCCACAGCAGCTGCCAATAAACAATCAGCCAACCAGTCAGGAACAGCTTCTTAAACGAGAAAAAGATGGTCTTGAGAAGAAACTCCAGTCAACCATCGATCAATTGAAATTCACCCAAGATAAACACAAACACCAGCTGACTTTGAACTATGCTGTCGAATGCGAGCTCGAGCTCGCCAGGAAGGAAATAGATGATTTGAGGAAAAAGATCAAAATAGCAGATGATAGCAGTAGGATTGCTGCTGCTACTACTTTTACTGCAAGTAATATGAATAATAATAATAATAATTGTGATAATAATATTACTGATAATAATTATAATATTGGTAGTGAAATCAAAATGACTACGAAATGTTCATCGTCATCTTCATCATCATCATCGCCATCATCGAAAAAAATTAAACAACCATCATCATCATCATTACCACCTACATCAGCGGCAAAAGCCGCCACAACAGCTACTACAACGGCCACATCGTCATCGAAGCACTTGAGGGGCATTGATATTAGAGATATCGTCACGTCATCATCGTCACTGATAGTTACATCGTCGTCAGCACTGTTGGAAAATAATAACCACAATAATAATAATAATAATAATTATAATAATAATAATAATGAAGATGATGATGATCGTGGTGAAGTTGCTGAAGTTACTACATCTGCCTCATTCCAATTGGCGGCACCTCCAGTTAATAATGATGATTCAAATAATAATAATAATGATAATAATATAAATAATAATAGCAACAATAATAATTATAATTATAACAATAACAATTATAATAATAATCATAAATTGGAAATGGAATTAGCTGAATTGAAGATGAAATTAATCCAAGTAGAACAAGAGAAGAATAAAGTCGGTGTCTCTTTAAACGTTTCAAAAAGAAACATACCTACATACATACATAAACATAAATACATACGTACGTACAAACATACATACAAACAAACACACATACATACAAACACACACACACACGTATGCTTATAGTATGCATACATTAATACGTACACTCGTGACACTTTTAGCGTACATTAATATATACTAACCTATATGTACACATACATGTACGAGTAGACGATGAAATGAATGAAATAATGAATGAATTAACGAATGAATGAACAAATGAATGAATCAATCAACGAATGAATGAATGAACAAATGAATGAATGAGTTAACAAATGAATGAAAGAATGAATGAACGAACGAACAGGTGCTGCTATTGGAAGATCAATTAGATCAGCTGACACATGACAAATACATTGACGAGATGAAATACAAGCAACAAATCGATACCCTCACTACGGATCTATCTTCCCAAGAGTTGGAGATAGTGCGTTTAAGAGAGGAGCTAGAGATAATGAAGTTGCAGCTCGATAATGTTGACTATATGGAGAAGAAGAGAAGTGAATTGCTGAGCCAAGGGAGCGTCAAATACCATGGTTGGTTCTTGGTTGGTTGGTTGGTTGGTTTGTTTGGCTGGCTGGCTGGCTGGCTGTATGTATGCTTGTTCATTCATTCGTTCATTCGTTCGTTCGTTCGTTTGTTTGCTTGTTTGTTCGTTTGTTCGTTCGTTCGTTTGTTTGTTTGTTTGTTTGTTTGTTTGTTTGTTTGTTTGTTTACAAAGTCGTTTATTCATCAATTTATTTCCATTTTTTTTTATTTCAGGCGCTAGATTTTTTGAAAATCGAGATATCGATGCTAGCAATGAACAACAACATTATCAACAACCTCATCAACAACAACATCAACGACATGCTGATTTTTTGCCACAACAAGAGTTCCTTGAACTGCAAAAACAGGGAGAAGAAGAACATCCACAGGAGCTGGTTGTCGTTCAGCCAGCAAACGAACAACAACAACAACACTTTATACAACTTCAACATTCCTTACAAAGACCACAACAACAACAATTAACTGCGGAAAATGATCATCAAACCGCAAGCAACAACGCCACCAACAACAACAACAACGATACTTTAATAAAACAACAACAGCAACAACAACAACAGCGACAACAACAACAACAACAGTTGGACATAGTGAAAGACATAACCAATCAGCTACGAACTCAAATACTCTTGAAAGAATCCTTAGAAACCGAGTTTAAGTTACTAGACAACAACTATAGACAACTCCTAACGACAAATAGCAACCTTTCAGATGAAATCAAGTCACTGCAACAACAACATCAGCAGCTGTTGCAGCAACGTCAGCAGCTGCAACAGCAACATCAGCAGCTGCAGCAGCAACTTCAGCAGCTGCAACAGCAACATCAGCAGCTGCAACAGCAACATCAGCAACAAATATCTGCCATTGATGTGATGAACGAGAGAAGGAACGTCCTAGAGAGGCATCTTCTGTCATCCATAAACGAGCTACAGAGGATGAATGAAGAGAATGATGGACTGAAGGGCGAACTTGTTAGGGTCGTCCAGGTATTATTATTATTATTATTATCATCATCATCATCATCATTGTCGTCATCATAATCGTCATCATCTTCATTATTCTACAGGTAAGTGAACAGGAAATAGATCGCTACAAAAGGCAAATAGGTTATTATTATTATTATTACTTTTGTTATTATTATTTTTATTGTTATTATTATTGTTGTTATTATTGTTATTGTTGTTTCCCAACTAGGAAAATTAGAGATAGAGATAAATGAAACGAGAGTGAACTATGAAAAAACGCTAATTGAAATTAGGTCAAACGTCAATATCGAGGTCGAGAGAGAGAAGGGAAAGTTGATCGGTTAGTTTCATTTCCGGTTTTTTTTACTTCCGGTTTCAGTTTCGATTTTTATTATTAATGCTGATAAAATTTTTTATGTTGGTGAATTGTTGTTGTTGTTATTATTATTATTATTTTTCATTATGACGTCATCTGTGAACAAATTTGCAGAAATGTTCAACAAACAGCAACAACAAATTATAAACGTTGTTAATGATGATAACGATAATAAACTATCATCATCATCGTCGTCGTCGTCTTATCGCGAGTTGATTGACAAGTTAGAAACCAAAGATAATGAATTGAGAGAATTGAAGTTGAAATTGAACTCATTGGAAGAGGATTTAGAGAGAGGAAAATGTGCCATCAAAGATACCAAAAAAGCTGTTGGTTGATTAGTCGATTATTGTTATGATTGTTATTATTATTATTATTATTATTATTATTATTATTATTATTATTATTATTGATGCCGTGACTGTATGTATGTGTGTGTGTGTGTGTGTGTGTGTGTGTGTGTGTGTGTGTGTGTGTGTGTGTGCCTGGTAGTTTTTGATTTTGCATGTCAGTTGATTTTTGCCGGTTACGTCAGTTCAATTCCTGTATTGCTATTGAAATCGGCAATAACAATAATAACATACTTAAACATAACATTAATAACAACAACATTAATAACAACAACATTAATAACATTTAAATTAATAACATTAACAACAACAACAGCTGTTAACCGAAAAAGGCATTTGTGTCAAGCTGAAGTTGGATGTAGAAGAATTAACGAGAAAACTCACCCAGCAGAGCATAGACATGGAAAACTACAGAAATCAACAAGAATCAAGCGCTAAACAAATGGATGAACTGCTGAAAAGTGAATCTAGATTGAAAGCCGAAGTAGAAAGGTTGCAGACGGATTTGAAGTTGAAATCTTCTGAGGGGGAGAAGTTGTTGAGAATGTTGGAAGACTGTAATGCTAAGGAATCGTCCTTACTGGATCAGATTAATGTTTTTTGTTGCTTATTCATTCGTTCATTCATTCATCCATCCATTCATTTATTCATCCATTCACTCATTCATTCATTCATCCATTCATTCATCCATTCATTCATCCATTCATTCATCCATTCATTCATTCACAGACATTGGAATGGAAGATATCGCAGATGACGTCAGAGCTGCAATCGACCAATGAGAGGATGTCGTTGGTTGATGACAGGCATGCTTGCGAAATTAACTCGCTAACTGAATCCTTCAAAGTTAGAGTTGTTTGATTGGTCGATTGATTGGTTAGTTGATTGGTTGATTGATTGATTGTTTAAATAATTGGTTAATTGATTGACTGATGAATTGATTGAATGATTGATTGATTGGTTGATTGGTTGATTGATTAACAACAACAACAACCCCAGCAACAACAATTCATAATGATAATAACGACAGATCAAATCGTCAGAGCTGGCAGCCCTGCAGGCAGAAATTTCACAGATGTCGAGGGAGCGAGTGGTTATGAAGATGAGGATCGTCCAACTGAAGCAGGCAATTGCAGACATTTTGAAACAGCACGATGTCGTTAGTACGGTTGTTTTGCTGATTGGTTGGCTGGCTGGTTGATTGATTGATTGATTAATTATTATTATTATTATTAATGCAGTTTAACGGCGTTTCAGCGCTACTGGCTATCTTTACGCCCTTTTTTCTTTTGAAACAAAATTGTCTTAGGGTTCTTTTGAGTTTTTTTCAAATATTTCTTTCAATATCTGAGGGGATCTGATATCGTTTCCGAATATCATCATGGTTTTTGCATTCCACCAAGTGTTGTTCAGGAAGTATTTCATCACAAAAGTTGCATGCTGGTGGATTTCTTTTGTTGATTATCCAAGAATGAGTGTATTTTGAATGGCCTATTTTTAACCTATTAATAATTGTCCTCAGTTTACGGTTTAAACCCTTAGATTCATCTGGATTTTTTTTATAAACACTTGGCATGGATAGTTTAAGATAATTGGTAATCTTATTCCATTCAAGTTGCCATTTTTCATCCATAATTTTTTTTGTCCAAATTCTTAAATCACTGTATGGAATTGGTACATTTGATATTGGGATAGCATGGGCTTGTGATGCGGGTTGATCTGCTTCTTCGTTGCCATGAATTCCTATGTGACTGGGAATCCACATCAAAGCTATTTTATTACTATTATTAGTCAAGTTATTATGTATATTATTTTGTATTTGCTTTATCAGATTATGTTGAGCGCTATATTGATTAAGTGCAGTGATTGCAGATAATGAATCTGAAAATATTAAAAATTTGTTATTATTGAATTTAGATACATAGCTTATCGCCATCTCAATAGCAATGATCTCTGCCGTAAAAATTGATGTATAGTTTGGAAGATGTTTCATGAGCTTATGTATAATCTTTGAATGCTGGTAAACAACTATTGCTGCTGTCGTTGAGAACTCCTTTTTTGAGCCATCCGTATAAATTTTTGTGGAATTGGGATTTTTATGGATTTTTTCTCTAAATAAAATTTTTGCTAAATTTTCATCTTTTACTGTTCTATTTATACTGATATCAACATCCGGATACAGCAATAGCCAAGGCGGGTGTTCATAATCCATTTCTTTCAAAATATTAGTTTTGTTATGATCTTTGATATATTCATTAAGTCTTGCTGGGAATGTTTGTATAGCTTTTGATTTTATTTGATGATTCTGGTTTATAAATTTGTAGTTCTGATTTTCTGGCTGAGACCTAACTTTTAAATAATAATTCAATGCTAACTTTTGATGTCTAAATGTTAAAGGCATCTTCCCAGACAAAACATGTAAACTGCTAGATGGCGATGTTCTCTAAGTTTCCAAGACTTTTCTTAATGACTCGTTCATTATTGGTTGAAGAATTTTCAGATATGATTTCCTTGTTGATCCGTAGACCGGACTAGCATAGTCTGTTATTGACCTTATCATTGCTTGATAGATTGTCATTAAGTGTTTTTGGTCTGAACCCCAGGTATGATGAGATAGAACTTTTTGAAGGTTGAGTGCTTTTAAACATTTTATTTTGATTAATTGATTTATTGATCGATAGATTGGTTGGTTGGTTGATTGATTGATTGATTGATTGATTGGTTGACTGATTGACTGATTGATTGATTGATTGATTGATTGATTGATTGATTGATTGATTGGTTGACTGACTGACTGACTGATTGAATGATTGATTGATTGATTGATTGATTGATTGATTGATTGATTGATTGATTGATTGATTGATTGATTGATTGACGGACGGATTGATTTTAGGTAAAGGAGAAAGAGACATCCTTAGTTAGCGAGTTGATAATAAACAAGGAGGAGTTGGAAAAACTGCTCGTCGATGTCACACCACACTCTACTGATAATAAGTTTGCTGCTGCTGCTGTTGTTGATACACACACAAACGCACACGCACACACACACGCGTGTACTTACACACACACACATGCGTGCGTGTACTTACACACACACACGCGCGCGCGCGTGCGTGTACTTACACACACACACACACATACACACGTGTACTTACACGCACACACACACAAACCCACACAGACCTCTTCACGTGTTGCAAACAACGCTATCAAGCCTAAGGGGTGAGATAGACAGCCTCCAAGTCCAGATCAACGAACACGCAACAGCTGCTCTCACCTCCTCAAAAGCCTGGAGGTTATTATTATTATTATGGTTTTTGCAGTTCTTGTTTTATAATAATAATAATTATAATAATTATAATCATAATAATTATAATTATTATAATTATAATAATTATTATAATGTCATCGCATAGGGATTTGGAAGAGCAGGTTAAAGACTTGAAAGAAATCTGCCAACTGTCAGCTTTGACTAGAGCTCAAAATGACGACAACAATAATACCACTGCTACTACTACTACTAATAATAATGACGATGACGTCACCATCCGGCAATCGTCATCAGCAGCACTTCCGTCATTATTATCATCATTGCTTCCGTCACCGCTATCAGCCAATGATATTGAGTTGCTAGTTTCGGCGTTAAACCTACCTGAGCATATTGCGCTGATGCTAATGCAAACTTCGTCGTCATCATCATCATCATCAGTTAGAACATCATTATCATCATCGGTTACAACATCATCATCATCATCAGTTACAACATCATCATCATCATCAATGACGTCATCATCGTCTGTGAGGATGATGACGACGACGACGATGATAACACGTCAAGAAGTAGCTGCGGATGTTGTTTCGAAGGCTGTGACGTCATCATAATGGTCCTCCCAATCACGATCATTAATATAACCACCACCACCATCATCTTCATCATACTCATCATTTTGATCATTACTTTCACCATCATCATTATCTTAATGAAATCGCTATCATAAATATCATCGTCATCATTATCATCATCTGAAAAAATTCTGTAGTAGTTGTAATAGTAGTGATAATAGTCGTAGTAGTAGTAGTAGTAGTAGCAGTAGCAGTAGTGGCAGCAGTTGTAGCAGTAGCAGTAGTAGTTCAACAAATTAAACTTGCTTATGATCACTTGATGTCTGCTTACCATTTTCGTTACTAATTGTATAGATGAAATATTAATATTAAAAATGTATATATATATATATATATATATATATATATATATATATATATACGCTTATATATATGTATATATATATTGGGCTTTTATATATCTAGCTTTGTATATTTATTTATGATAAATGTAAATATTAATCTCTATGTTCATTCATTCATTTGATTGTTCTTTCTTTCCTTCATTCGTTCTCTCTTTTCTTCATTCATTTCTCATTATTCGTTTATTCAATCACTCATTCATTCAATCACTCATTCATTAAAGAAATCTCTCTATAATTATTTTTGTTTTGTCTTCTGGGTTCTCATTCGACAATGTCCATTTTTATGAATTTCTTACATTTATATTCTTTGGTATCTTATTATTCAATTCTTTTTTCATATCTATGTTTATTTAAGATTGTACTTCCATACTTTTTATTCTATGTCCGCCCGCTATTTAATTTTCCACTCTCAATTCTACTTTTAATTTTTCAAAAAAATCAGACTCAATGCATACAAACTTATGAATTTACATTCAAAATTATAACTATAATAAAGTTTATTATTATTATCATTATGTTTATTATTATTGTTATTATTATTATTGTTATTATTATTATTGTTATTATTGTTGTTATTATCCAAATTTTAATTTTCTCGGTGCCTTCGTTCGAACCATTATCATTGTTATTACTACTATTGTTGTTATTATTGATATTATTGTTGTTAAAGGTCAAAAAAGGTCAAAGGTCATTCTCTGTCTCGTGCACTTGCGACGCCAGAGGTCACAACGACAAACGCAGAAACTGAGACAGGCAGACGTACATATATACAATTGAAACGAAACGCTAACACATAAGATGCTTCATTAAAATAGAATTCAAACTGCAGTTAAAATATTTTTAGTATGGAAAATAAAATTAACAAAGAATGAGCCTAAAAGAACAAGTTAAAATAAGTTAAACATCTAAAAACACACACACACTTATATATATATATATAATATATACAAATGCATATTATACATATACAATTAATTTGAAAATACAATTGTTTATGGTAATAAATATTAGTTTGTTAATCAACAAGTCGTTTATTCAATCATTCATTCAATCAATCACTCATCAATTCATCTATCCATTCCTAGTCCATTCACCTTCCCATTAATCCATTCATTCAATCACTCGTTGATTCATTCATTCATCTAACCATCAATTCATTCATTCATCCAACCATCAATTCATCATTCATTCATCTAACCATCAATTCATAATTCATTCAACTGATATTGCTTGGCCATATTGAATCTTTTGTCCAGGCACGACGGCGAATCTAAAGTTGTTTGGCGCTTCAAAAAGCAGAACGATCGTTGAACCTAGGTTAAACTCGCCAAACAATTTTCCCTTTTTAAGGTATATACCTTGTGGTTGCTGTTTTTGCTGTTGTGGTTGTTGTGGCTGATGTGGTTGTGGCTGTTGTGGTTGCTGATGTATTTGAGATAGCCTTGGATCAATACTTTTGACATCAATTGTATTGTTAACGTTACTATCATTTTTACCGCTAGTGCTGTTGTTGTTTTTATCATCATCGTCGTTGTTTTTGTTGTTGATGAAGGATTTATCGTAATGTATTAGTAGTTTATTGTTCCTATATACATTTGTCTTTAAACTCTGTAGTGTAAAATATAAAAGTTAAAAAATTATTATTAATATTTATATTATAATTATTAATTATTGTTATTAGCAATAATAATTTGTCATCATAATAATAATAAAAACAACAGCAGCAACAACATCATGAACGACAACAACAATAACGAACAACAGTATCAAGAGGAACCTTATCGATGTAGACACATATCGACCCGACGTTGGTCGCACCTACAGGGGACATGGAGAAGAACCCATGGGCCCATCTACCGAAGTAAACGACCCTTTCATTCATATTGAATAGGCCCTTGAGCCAGTGAGCGACTGATGGTTTGACACTGAATAACTCGCCTGACGAACGGATGAATGAAATCGTAGTTTAAATTTTATAACAGTAACAGGAAGAACAATGATAACAATGACGAGCTAGAAATAGCTTCAGAGGTTAAAATTAACCTGGAAAATGTCTCCTCATCTGGACGAACCAATCAGCTGGAGAGTGAAATCTATGGTAATCCCCTGGGGCTAAATATATCACACAGTAAAACAGGCCGTTCATGGTTGGGTCACATAACAAGGGCGGGGCTTTATTCATGTTGGATGATTTAAAAGGGGTACTATTTATACCAATTTTGTTGTTGTTGATGTTGTTAATGTCAAAGTTGTATTGGCTCAAATGTTTGTCATCTGATTTGGATACTGACTTAATTTCGTTTTCATCGTTCGAAGAGTTTGCTTTCGCTTTCCTTTCTTCGTCATCAATATTATTATCAACGACGTCATCATCAGCATCGATTACGTCACTTTTGTGTTTACCTTCAATTAACTGGCCGTTAATAAAGGCATCGCTCTCATTTACTGAACTGTCCGGTCGAACAGATTTTTTTCTCATCTGGCCGAAGTAGTTTAGTTTTTCGAAGTTTGAATGGTTGACGACGTTGAAATTTAAAGGTCCTAGAAAGCCACTTAATGAATAAGTTACGCCTTTTACTTGTTCCAAGGTTCCGTTTTGAACCCTCCCGCAATGCAAAACTCTACCGTCTACTGGACTGGTCTGGTTGGTGGGATGATTGATGATGATGTGAGGATGGTAACTGATATGATGATGTGATGATATGGTTGATGCGATGCAAAACAACAATGACGGTAATGTTATCTCGATGTCAGAAGGTGATAAGTGACGCTATAATATCTAATTAACATTTATAATACCAACAATCATTCACTAATTCGCAGTTACGAACCAGCACAGCCTTATCAATGGGCCTAAGTCCCGGCTTGAGTAGACGCCGAAAAAACTCAGAAAGATTCTTGTACCTCGAGAAATCTTGAACTATGACCTCATCTGGCCGGCAATTAAACATCCAAACGTACAAATAAAAAGTGGGACGCCTTAGCCAGTAAGGGAGGTCAAGGTTGTTTAGTTGACCCCAAAAGCGGGAAAGCATTCTGAGAGGCATTCTTTTGTAGAGTTTTAACTGTATGTAGATGTATGAATTTGTATGTTTATGTGGGAAAAACAAGGTTTAATAAGTATTTTATATATGTGTATGTATTTATGTGTATGTACACACACACACATACATGGGTGTGTGTGTGCTATCACTGAAGTTTAGAAAGGCAAAGTTTATGTACAATGGTTCATTTCAATACACTCTCGACAAAATTTTTATTCTCATTTTCATTTCAAATAATTTCAAGAGCTCTCTCTCTATACAAACACACACACATACATACATATATATATACATTACATATACATATATACATTCCAATCCTTGATTGCTAACTTTAGTATTGTTGTGCCAATCATTGATAATGTGTGCATAAGAAGGCTGCCTCAGTGCTGTTTTGTAACAGTAATCATTAATTTGTTTTCTATTCTGAATTGCAGAAGATCCCAAACGTTTCCTGCCGTGTTTAGAGAAGTTTTCGCAAATTTTTATCAAGAGTCTTTTGTCCCAGGCGGCTAGTATCTGACTGTATCTATAAGATTTTAGGTCAGTTTGGTATTAGTGATGATAAGTTATAATGGTTTTTAAATATTCCAACTTCATAATTTTTAGACAGCACAAAACTTTACTATTAAAAAAACTTAACAAAAATTAACTGAAATAAAAGAAACATGTATTAAATACAATGTATTAAATTACAATGTGTTTAATACAAAAATACCTATATAGATGCTTCCAGCCAGGTATATTTAAACACTTCCAACAAATAGTTGACAACTTCTTGTAGTGACTCTGCTCTAACTTCCACAATGATTTTCTATTTCTAATCACTTTAGTGGCCGCCTCTTTCATTTTTTTCCATGGTTTTCCAAGAGTTTGATACCTAGGTACCCTAATTAGACGAGGAGCATACCTGTACGTTTGTGCTAGAGCCAGCTTGCTTGTATGCCAAAGGATCAGAACTTATGGTAATTTTTAAAAAATAATTTAAATACAAATTAAATTATAATTTGATAACTTTTTTGAATGAAATTCTAGTTTAGACTCATGAACAACAATTAATAAAGTATAATATAATTATAATATAGTATAATAATAAATAAAGTTAACTTACAAATGTAAAAGGACACTTTAGCCAGGTAGTTCTGTGGAGCAAATTGAAAAAATAAAATGTTTATTTGAAATACTCCTTTTGTCTATCTATCTCTATCTAATAAAATAAATTTAACAGATTTAATTAAAAAACTCATTAAAATTAAAAAACATATTGAGATTGATTGAAAATATAAATTAATAATTAAGCATTGAAATATAAAATACAACTGATGTACTAGTGCATCTCACCTTCTTATATGAAAGAACTTTCATTTCGTTTCGTCGTTTCGTTTCCTCTGGAAGAATTGCTAAAATATTGTCAAAACGTTTTAATTGGAAGTGATTATTTTATTAATATTATTCAGCTGTTTGTACTCAAAATTGACAAAAATCAAACTCCAGAATAAAATAATTAATTTAAAATTTTAAAACTTATTAATTCTAAATTACAAACAAATAACTTCAATTTTATTCACACAATTTGTGCTATTACAGGCCACTACACACTCAGACAATATACTTACAGTTTACACCACCAAGTTAAGAATATTATGGGATAGGTGACAAATATGAGATGATGCTAAATTATAATATATATTTAAATATATAATATGCATAATATATGACATGATTTTATATATGGCAAATTAAATACTTTAATCAATTTGCCATATATATACATATTATACAAGAAGGAAGTGATTGACTTATCACATGAAAGATTTTTACATTTAATTTAAATAATTGCAACTATGTATAGGGTAAGTTTATATATACATATATCAACTATATATCCATTTATTTATACTTTTATGACGAAATGAAGACTATTTAATGGGGCATAAAATAAGAGATATCTTTTTCTCTCTCTCTCTCTTCTTTTTACTTTCCCTCTCCTTCTCTCTTTCTCTCTCTCTCTGTATCTACAACATGAGCATATATTAAAGGTGTCATAAAGGCCAGCCTCCATCATCTATTTATAATTAGAAACATCGGATGATTCCCAAAAAAGATGCTATTTGCCTATTTAAACTAAATTAGGAAAAGATTTTTAATTACTTTATTGTAATTTAAGTAGAAATGAATGATGTGTCAAGTGTGTTTGTGCTTGTTATAAATTTCTCAGATGGATTTAGTGATGCAAAGAAAATTAAGTTTTGAAAAAAATATTGTTCAATGCATTTACTTTTAAAAAATAAATAATACACGCACGTGTTTTTTATCGCTCATGATTCGAATTGAAAAGGTAAATTAATGATCTAAGAATACGTTTTTGAAAAAAGTTTTAATAGAGTAAATAATTGTTTATAAGAAATGTGCTCTTTGTACGGATTGTTGCCTCCAATTAGGGATGATGATGTCGTTCCGGTAGAAAACTCTGATTCCGATTTGGAAGTAATAGTAATGATTTTTTAAAATTTCAATATAAGTTACTAACTCAACTAATCACTAAACAAATTTTTAATTTTATTTATTATCATGTATAAAAGCAGTACAGAGTAGAACTTTAGCTGCCTACATTCCCGTTTTTTCAAATGCAAATATAATAAAATTGATAATTTATAAAAAATTTTATATTAAATATTGATTAAATTAAATTATATTTGTAAACTGAATAAAATGAGAAATGTTAAAATGAAATGATTATCATGATTCATGACGATGACATAGTAGTGTTAATGATGATCATCGCTGGCTGTCAAAAACATCATCACCCAATCATTCCTTTCTTTTTTGTATTTTAACATTGAATAAAATTCTTTGCAGACGAATAATATTCCCACCTCATCATCTTTGAAAAGGAAAAAGATTAAAAAACCAAAGAGTAAAATTAGTAATAAGAATAAACAGCATAGCGATTTTAACGATGATTTCCATTTTGATATATCAGTAAGTACTCAAGAAAAAAAAACTTTAAATTTTTATTTATTTAATTTTTTCATAAAAATATCTTTATTACTAATCTTTAATTTCAAATAAATTATCTCAGGAGGATGAGGAAATGACATCATCGTCATCCTTACTACCATCTAACGATAAAGTTCAGTCATCCCTTGATAGAAAGATCGAAAATAAAAGAGTAAGACAATATAACTCACTAACATACATACATACATATATACAAACATACATACATACATATATACAAACATACATACATACATATATACAAACATACATACATACATACAAACACATATATACACTCATACATACAAACACATACATACATACAAACATACACATATACATATATGTATATATATGTGTAGATATACAAGCACATACATGCAATAGATACAAACACACATGTATATTCATAATATTTTAGTATCATTATTATTATTATTGTTAATCATTTTTATAGAAAAAATTGAAACAGCTGAAAACTGCAAAAGAAAAAACTAAGCAGTCCAAAGTTGACCATGGAATGGAAGTCGATGATGATGATGATGATGATGACGACGACGATGATGATGATGATGAAGACGACGATGACGATGATGGTGGTGTCAAAAATGGTACTTCATTTCACACATTCGAGATTAATATTTATATATTAATTTTAGATTAAATTCAATTTAGTTGTTATTATTATTAATATTAACGCTATTGTTATTGTTATCATTATCGTTATTATTATTATTATTATTGAAGATGTTGTCAAGATAAAAGAGAAAAAATTAACCAAGAAAGAGAGAAAGCAATTGCAGAAACAGAAAGAAAAGGAAGAAGATAACGTTATTATTATTATTATCATCATCGTTATCATTATCATTATTATTGTTGTTGTTATTATTCTTATTGTTATTATCATTATTGTCATCATTGACAGCATCAATCTTAAGAATGTTTTCTTTCAAACTTAAATTTTCTCACCAATTTTTATTCCCTGAACACACATGCGGCCACACACGCATACATTCACGCATACATTCACACATACATTCACACATTTACACATGCACAAAAGGACGCCCGGATATCTTACGGCGAAATTTTTGGCGGGAACTGTGACGTCAGTAGCTTTTCGGAAATGTGCCTGTCTAGGGCGATAATGAAAGCGCTAAATAAATTACAATGGCAAAAACCGACGGCCATTCAATCGGCGACCATTCCTACTGCACTGGTTGGAAGCGACATCTGTGCGTGTGCTGCCACTGGGACAGGTCGGTTGGTTGGTTGGTTGGTTGGTTGGTTGGTTGGTTGGTCGGTCGGTTGGTTGGTCGGTTGGTTAGTTGGTTGGTCGGTCGGTTGATAGATCAATAGATGGAAGACCAATAAAAGAATGAATGAATAATTTAGTAAATTTGAATGTAGTTGAGTAAACTTTGATGGATGGATTGATTGATTGACTGATTGATTGATTGATTGATTGATTGACTGACTGACTGATTGATTGATTGATTGATTGATTGATTGATTGATTGATTGATTGATTGATTGATTGATTGATTGATTGATGGTGTGATTGAAAATGAACCAGGCAAGACGGGGGCTTTCATGATTCCAATCCTGGAGCGTCTCATCCACAAGCCAGACAACATGCCATGCACACGAGTCCTCGTACTGACGCCCACCAGAGAACTGGCCGTCCAGATTTTCCAGGTCTCCAAACAACTGGGACAGTTCACTAACGTCACCTTCTCACTGGCCGCCGGTTGGTTGCTTGGTTGCGTGTGCCATTGATAATTGATAATTTCCTCCTCATCATCCTCTTCTTCATCATTGATAATTGATAATAATTTCTTCCTCATCATAATCTTCATCATTGATAATTTTTTCCTCATCATCATCTTTTTCCCTTCTTCCTCTTCATTATCTTCTTCCTCTTCATCATCATCTTCATTCTCTTCCTCCTCCTCACCACCACCACCACAAAATTCTTCAAGGCGGTCTCGATCGGAACAGCCAGGAGGCAGTCCTAAGATTGGGACCGGATGTCGTCATCGCCACGCTCGGCAGACTGATAGACCACCTGCAAAATGCTCCCAACTTCAACCTCGGCTCCGTCGAGATATTAGTTCTGGACGAAGCTGATAGGTCTGCATGCTTGCGTTACACACACGCACACACGCACACACACACGCACACACACACACGCACATACATACATACATATACACACGCACACACATACAACCAAATATACAGGATGTTGGATGAATACTTCGCGGAGCAAATGAAGGAGGTGATTAGCAGATGTTCTAGAATGCGACAGACCATGCTCTTCTCTGCTACCATGACTGAAAAAGTTGGTGACGACGATGATGATAATGATGATTGTGATGATGATGATCGTTTTGACGATTAAGATGATGATGATGGCGGTGATGATTACGATGGTTAAAATATTTTATAAAATGTTGTTATTATTTTTCAATCATTATCTAAGCCATTCATAACAAATATTATTAATTTTATAGTCATATAATAATAATAATAACTGAATAGGTCAAAGATTTAGCGTTACTATCATTAAAAAATCCGACCAAAATTTTCGTCAATGAAAACCAAGAAGTGGCATTGAACTTGCAACAAGAATTCGTAAGAATTCGAGCCAATCACGAGTCAGATAGAGAAGCAATCGTCTGCGGTTGGTTGTTTGTGTTATAGTTCTCGACCAATTAAGGGAATGAATTCAGTGGTCGTTTGTGGTAAGGCTTCAATCAATCATAGTTAGCTCTCTGGCTGGTCGTGTTAATGTGTCATAAATGGTGATTTTATTTGCTGGTTATTATTCCAACCAATCATGTTTTAGAATTGTTTCGTTATTGACTTCGTTCTGACCAGCACGATTCTAACAATTTTAGATAAATTTGAAACCATTAGTTATCTATCTAATGGGCACTTTTTTTGCATTGAAATGAAATTTCATATTTAGTAGCGTAGGCGTTAAAATCACCAACGAAACTAACAAAAACATCAACACTAACAATAATTTCAACAACAACAACCACGCAAACAACCACAACATCAACAACAACAGCCCTGATCAAACGAACCTTTCAAAATCGCTGCATAATCTTCATACAAACGAAGAAGGAAGCACACAGGTTGCACATCATCCTCGGCCTTCTTGACATTAAAGTCGGGGAGTTACACGGCAATCTCACGCAACTTCAAGTTAGGAATTAGGCAAGATAATTGTGAAGTTTTGATTTGTCGGTTTTTTAATTGGGTACATTTGATTGGTTGGCTAATTAGATGGGTAATTTTGATTGGTTGGCTAATTAGTTGGATGCGTGATTTAGTTTACCGAATTTGAATTAATTCGATTGGCGAGTAATTTTGACTAATTTGGATGGGTGATTTTGACTGGCTCGTTACATTGGATAAGTGAGTTTGATTGGTCGGTTAGTCTGAATAGGATGATTTTAATTGACCAATGTGGTGCAGTCTGTCAGTTGATTTAACACTTGCTGGCTTTGAATAGTTAGTTGCAATTTAAAAACACCACCACACAGAGATTGGACGCTCTCGAAAAGTTCAAAAATGAAGAAATTGACGTTCTGATCGCCACTGACCTCGTCGCTAGAGGCCTCGACATCGAGGGAATTAAGACTGTTAGTTGACGATTTTATTATAACCATAATAATTATAACCATTCCTATAATAAACTATAGTTTAATTATAATTTAATTATGATAATTCATAATTATTGCCATATAAGGTGATAAATATGACGATGCCGACGTCAGTCGAGCGCTACATACATCGTGTCGGTAGGACGGCTAGAGCGGGAAAAAGCGGAAGGTCGCGTGATTAGTTGATTGATTATTATAATAATAACAGATCAGTTTGATTGGTTGATAATAATAATAATAGATGAATTTGATTGGTTGATAATAATAACAGATCAATTTGATTGGTTGATTGACGATGATAATAGTAACTGATCAATTTGATTGGTTGATTAATTGTAATACTAACAGATCAATTACACTGGTTGGAGAGAAAGAAAGAAACTTATTGGCTCAAGTTATAAAAGCCTCAAAAGTACCAGTAAAAATGAGAACCATACCACCAGGTTATTATCATTTTTATTGTTTTGATTGGTTGGTTTTTCAATTGAAAGATTTTGATCGGTTGATTAGTCGGATGAATGATTTTGATTGGTTGGTTAATTTCTAATAGGTTTGTTGTTCCTTTATGTTATTTTTTAGGTTTTTATATTATATTGGAAAATAACAATAACATTATTAATACCGGAAAATATGGCAGAGGTGATAATGAAGTACCGTTCAAGAATAGTCAGGCTAGAGAAAGACGTGAGAGAGATTGAGAAGGAAGAAGAGGAAGAGAAAGAATTCAGAATCACTGAACTGAAAGCCAACAAAGGTTTTGTACAATATGATAATCTTAATGTTAAACATCGCCATTCATTATTACACTTATACTATATCCAATAATTATTAATAACTATATCATAATGAATAGATAATTTTTTCTCCAGCTATAAAAATGATTGAACACCATGACGAGATAATGAGCAGGTCTAAAAGGACGTGGTTTCAATCGCATCAAGAAAGACAAAAAGAAAAAGGTTGATTAGCTGGATGATTGGTCAATATTTAGATTGATTGATTGGTGAATATCTCACTCGTCATTTTTTTCATTCGCAGAAGAGTTGAAAGAAAAAACTAAAGCCAAGCAAACCAAAGGAACCCTGAAATGAAAAATTATCAACTAATTACTGATAAATATGAATTAATCATTAATAATAATTTAATTAGTTAGTTAATGATAAACCAACCTGTAATTATCAACCAGTCTATTTTTCTTTCTTTAAATAAACGAATAAAAACCGAACGGAAATAACAGTTATGTTGAAAATTCTCATCACCATCGCGAAATCTACTTTTATACTATCATCTTTCTGGTAGGATTCAATCATTTTATCACGCACACAAAAACACTTCACACGCACACACATATATATATACATACATATACAGTCTAACAATTCGTTCAGCATCACAATTGAATGGTTTCAAGCAAAAATATACAGACGCCATCACCAGCAATGCAACTACGGATACTATCAACCACCATTATTACTACCATTACTGATATTGATTCAGTTACAACTTAATAGTTTATACAACTTTATACAACTACAAAACGAATATAAATACAACATTCGACACCATACTTATTACTACTAGCAATAATAAGAGTATATCACTATCACAGTTCAATTCTTAACAATGGTATAGGTAATAGGAATAATCGTAGTAGTATTATTATTGCTAGTAGTATAAGCAGTAACTTTTAAAGTAAAACCCAATGGAATCATAAATATGATATAAAACAAAATCATTTAAAAAAAAAGAGCACGTTTAACATAATTGCCTATATCACGAACAATAACATGAATAATAATAACAACTATAATAATTATAATCTAATTATTATATTATACGTCAAATAATTTATTAAGTTGGGATACTGTATCCTCTGGGGATACCACTGAAAAACTCTTGGTCCGCTCATCAGCATATATCTCATAATCATTCTCGCCCTGCAAAATTATCAATAATTATGATTATAATTATGGTTAATTATGACATAATAATAATTAATTATAGCGTAGCAATGATTATTTACTAATTATAACGTGATATTATCTTATTATGTAAGTATATACGTATGTATGTATGCATGTATCACCAAATAGGAATCATTATCTACATACCCTTGCAGTTACTACAAAAAGATGACGAAGTTAATAAACTTTGCAAAACATAAAAATGGGAAAAAAAGAATAATTATTATAACTATAATAATAATATTTACTGGCTTCGTCTTGTCACCAAAGAAATAAATAGTATTAAATGCTTCTTTCTCAATGTGCTTTAGACAGTACCTTTTGTCCCAGCCTACTGGAAAGACATCAATGCTAATTTGCCCACCTTAAAATTATAATAATTATGATATTATGACATAATTATATCAATTATAATTATAATTATGAATAAAAGTTATAAAAGAAACCGACCAATTGAGAAAGTTAGACCAGAATCTGGAAACCTTTGCTGAAACAACTTCACTAGATCTCTCCTGACATGATGAACCTTGAAAAAAATATTTAATTACAATGATGATGTATCAAAAATGACAAGTATGAATATTAATTAGATGAATAAATTATGCTAATTGCCTTATCGTATTCAAAAAATTGGTCCCTTTCAGCCTGTGAGCAACTCCGGCCTACGGGACTGACGTTTATCAGGCCTGACCTAAATTCTATAAAGCTTCCTCTGCCGAAAAAATTATCATTTGTTATGAATAAACAATATTTATATTATATTTATGAATAATAATAATATTATTATAAATATTATTATAATTCATTTATAATATAATTATATTATAATTATATTATAAATGGGATTTTGCTGGTTAGATTTTGTTGCTATTGAAGATACAACAATAGTAACAAATACAATGAATAAAACAATAACAATAATATAACAAATAATAATAATAATACACAATAATAATACAAAATAATACATAATAAAAATTGATAATATTGACCTTTTACAAGGCAGCCTTATTTTAGATAAAGATTCCAAGGCAAAATTGATGAACTCCTGAAGCTTCTCTTCACCCATATACGAAACTATACTCTATAATAATTTCCATTACAACTATTATTAATATCATTACAGTTTAATTGTAATATTATTATATTATAATTTTATTATAATTTGTAATATTATCATAAGTATTTTTACTTCTTTGCTGATCAGTTTTCCGTGCTTATGGGCAACCAGGCCATTTTCAGAGAAGACGTAGTCATATCTATGTATAACTGTTAATTATTTTATGAAAAAAATTAATTTAAATAATTAAAAAATGTCTATTTAATTTAATTTATACATTCTCTTATTTATTTAGCCAGTTATATATATATTGTGATTTTTCAAATATAACTAATTAATTACCTTTTAAAGTTTTATCAAGTTAATAGTTTGTTAAATGATTGAAACTAAAAACTACCATCAACACCATCGACAAACATCTGTTCAGCTATCTTTGCTAGGTCAGAACCCCCCACCAACCCAACAACAATCTTCTTATTTAATCTTTGTAGGCACTCCTCCACTCTACTTGTTATCTTCTAGATTAGTGATTTATGAATGAATAAGTAATCAGTACTCCTCAAGTACTTTTTATGAGTTTACTTTATTTATTTAAAAATGAATTACACTCTCTAGACTTTACAGGGAAATTAAGAAGATGTAAAACAAAATTTCAAATCTCAATGAAATAAAAAATTCAAATAAATTGATAGAAATGATCATTTTTTTTTACTATGATAATTATAAGTTATAAAGCTAGTTATATAATTTTTTTTACTTTTCAAAAAGAAAAAGTTATGAAAAACTGACACTACTAAATGATAAAACTCACTCACTAAACTAAAAGATTAGTTACAAATTTAGGAAATAAAATAGAAATACATCAAAATTAAAACATTAAATGTACATATATTCATATCCTAATTACTTGTCTAGGGGCCGTTAATGTTCCGTCGACATCGAACAGGCAGATTGTTGACGTGTCTCTTTCGGTTGCCATGTTTAATTTTAAATCCACTTTTAACCTCAAATTAATCTTTAAATGCTAGCCAGTTTAAATAGATGTTAATTTAGTGAATAAAATATGGAAAGTTATAACTATTTTATGTAATATGACCATGGTATTGCACAGACGGGATTAGAATTCAAGAGTAACCATTCACATTAGCTTTTGCTCAACAGTACTGATAAGAGTACAACATAATTAACATAATGAGTGCAATTAGTATAGTATCTATATCTTTTGTAATTCGATACTACAAATTTAAAATAAAGAACAAATACAAAATCGGTTAACTCATTATCTTTTATCGAAAAAACTTCAAGAAATACAAAAAGACTGTATGTTTGTATGCCTTAAGGATACAAATGTTTGTATGTATGTATGAAAGATACAAAACTGTAAATGTATGTTTGCATGAGAAAGATACAAACATTTGTATGTTTGTTATTGAAGATATACAATTGTTTGTATGTATCTAAGATGTACAAAACGTTTTAGTGTGTTATTATTACCGACAATTTATAGTTATGAAAAAAAGTGTCGTCATTACAATAGAAAAATGAATTAAAAGCATGCTAAACAGTATCAATTGACGCTTTCATACGTCCTATTTAAAAATATGAAATAATTAAATGAATAATAATAATAAATAATAAAGCCATGATAATAGAATAAGAATAAGACCCAAAACCCAACACCAGCGATATTATTTTTTTGCAATTTTTGTCAAAGTTCACGAAAAAAAAAAAAATTTTTTTCATTTACTAAAACGTTGTTTAACACACTGAAGAGTATATCGAAGTTTTGAAAAAAGTTATCAGGTAAGAACACACACGCAAACACACACACGCGCACACACACAAGCAAAAATATATACAAACATACAGATACAAAAAGATACAAACATACAAATAAATAAATTACCTTTACAAAAACAAGGTATTTTGATATAAATACACACACACACACACACACACGCACGCACACACACATAATGAAATGCACGCGATGGTAGAATTTTTAATGCAAAAAAGATAAATTATATATATATATATATATATATATGATTTGTTATCTTATATATATATATATATATATATGATTTGTTATCTTATATATATAGAATATATATATATATCTTATATATATATATATCAATCATATTAAACTGTAATTTAATTGAAAAAATTTGTTTCATGATCATCAGCAGAGAAAATGTGATTAAACTCACACGAAAAAGTGTCATTTAAATCTAAAAATAATTAAAGAGAACAAATAACCGAATAATGAAACATAATTACTGGAGAATTACGTAAAAAAAAATTGTATTACAAGGTGTAGTAGTTTGTTTGCTAATCATCATCTTATCATCATTAAACTGGCTATTTTTATTATTAATATTTATATTATTATTATTATTCTAAACATTTTAACAAAAACGATTCTAGACAGAAAATTTACTCATGCCAAAATGAATCAGGCCTAAGACGTTGACATTGAAATTAAACTATAAACCAGGGGCGGGCAAACCACCTGAAGCCTTGCTCGTCAAAAAAGGTACCTCAAATTACCAGAAATTAAGTACATATGCAGCCCTTCAAAGGTAAAATAGTCTTCAATGCGGCCCTCACAGCAAAAAGTCTGCCCACCCCTTGCTATAAATAAATGAAAACAACAACAACAATAATAATAATGATAATAATAACAACAATCGTCATTCGTAATAATAATAATAATTTTAATAATGAACAAATATTTTTATCACAAAATTTAAAAAGTTTTGGAAACAAGCCCGAAAAACAAAATGTGGGAAATAAACGTCATGCGCTGAGATAACTGCTATAACGATAATAAGAATAAGAATAATAATATAAATAATATTAATAATCTTATTATCATAATAATAATATGAATACTAATAATAATACAATTATTACTCATGGTAAGTTTTCACGAAGTTGAGTCGAAACAGAAGGGCAGATAGATCGAAATGAAATTGTAGGCTTTTAGAAGATTATCATAATCATTATTTCAAATAATAATAATAATAATAATAATAACAATAATAATAATTGTGGCGTTGTGACGACTTAATGGTAAAACGGGTCTGGAGCTGCCAATCTCACGGTAAGAAGATGCCGTAAGGGTGATTGACCTTTGACCTTTAACCATAGTAGTAGTAGTAATAGTAGTAGTAGTAGTAATGAATGAATGAATGAATAAACGAATGAATGAATGAAACAACAACGAGAACGATAAGATATCATTTAGAGCGTTCGATCATGAAATGTCATGCGTTCTATCATAATCCTCAATAGATCACTAATTATTTTATGTACGTTAAAAAGATAATAAAAAAGAAAAGTAACAATAATAATAATAACAACAATAATAATAATAATAATAATAATATTATTATTACTATTATTAAGTAATTTTCATTAAAACCAATGAAAAAATTTCAATTCGAAAAAACACGTTTTCAAGCATGAAGTTTTAAAAAATTATGGTTAAAAAATAATAAGAATAATAATAAATAATAATAATAATAATAAATAACAATAATAATAATAAATAATAATAATAGTAAATAACAATAATAAATAATAAGAATAACAAATAATATTCCCTGTCTTATTTCATACTTAATTCACACTTCGTCAGAGGAAGTGCTTTATTAATAAAAAGCAATAATAATAATAATAAAAATAATAATAATAAACAACAACAATAATAACAATAATAATAACAGTAAATTCCATATTATTTTGAGCAATAAAAAACACAACACAAAATTCTAGCATGATGTAGTTCTACGAAGTGATAATTATTCATATCATAATACACGATCTGTTGTAATGATAATAATTATTATTATTATTAATTATTATTATAGCTAATATTATAGTTGTTATAATTATATTTATTGTTAATGTAATTAATTATCCGGGAAAAGATCCTCATTTCAAAACGCTACAGCGTTGTTACTCCTATCAATTATTATTATTACTATTATTTATTATTATTATAATTACTATTTATTATTATCATTATCATAATTATTATCATTATCATAATTATTATCATTAAGCGACCTATAATGAAAAATGACGATGATGACGTAGACTGTGGTTAGGTGACAACGATGATGATGTTAGTAATGATGATGATGATGTTAGTAATGATGATGATGATGTTAGTAATGATGATGATGATGATGTTAGTAATGATGATGATGATGTTAGTAATGATGATGATGATGTTAGTAATGATGATGATGATGTTAGTAATGATGATGATGATGATGGTGTTGGTTATCATTACGCTGAGCGTGATGTTGATGGCGGAAAGTTCCAAATTGAAATAGGCACACAAAACAAATGTCTCAAATGAAAAAAAAACGATCAACTGATTATTTAATTAATTAATTATTTAAATAAATAATTAAATAAATAAATAAATGGAGAATAAAGAATGATGAAAAATAGGAAAAGAACAGACAAAAGAGATGACGCATACACAAAATGCATCTGCGAAAGATTAATACAACAACAAAAACAACAACAACAACAACAACAACAACAACAACAACAACAACAACAACAACAACAATAATAATAATAATAATAACATATAATAATAATAATTATTATTATTATTAACAATAATTAATAAATAAATGAAATAAGTTATAATGGCAGATTGTACTTCATAGACGAATCTAGATAGAAGGCTCAAAAAACATTTTCAATTAAAATAACAATTATAAATAATAATAATAATAATTATAAATAATTATAAATAATAATAAATTATAACGGGACGTGATATTTTAATGTGAAAAACTTTTAATCTGAAGTGAAATCCCAATAAATGGAAATAAATAAAAAATATAAATATATATATATACATATATACCTCATTAAATTATTTATATATATATATACCTATATTGTAATATTATAATTACTTATGCGTACCTCATCGTAATATTATAATTACTTATACTCACCTCATTGTAATGTTATAATTAACTATCAGAATAGGAGTCACATGAACTAGCAGGTTTTAGAAGCCCGACATATCTAAGATGCAGAAACTCACTGGCTCTATCTATATTACACTGAGATTATTGTCACCTGACCTATTGTCATCATCTTCTTCTTCCTGCTAATATTTTTTGATTGTGTTGTTGTTATTGTTGTTGTTATTATTACTGTTAGTATTAAAAAATTTCTATTCAAATCTAAATATAACAGGCCAAGAAACATGAAAAAATACAAATTAATATAAAAATACACACATACATACAAATACAAACACATATACACGCACAAACACACTGATAACCACACATATGCATTCACACACACACACCACACAGACACACACACATACATACAAACAAACAAACAAACATACAGACTCGTCATAACCCTACCAACACAAGAAAACACACAAACATACATACAAACCTACACGTACATATAGACAGACACACACACAAACAAACATACATACATACATACAAACATGCAAAAACTGAATAAAACTACTTCTGAAAAAAAACTATGTATGAGTAACATAATATTGAGAAAAATTAGAGAAGAAGAACAAGACAAAAAAAATGAACCATAGAAAATATAAAAAAGCAAAGAAATAAAAACAAAATACAAACAAACTTTGTTTATATGTACAAAAAGTGTGAAAATCTAAAACGAAAAAGAGATTCTTTGTGATAAATAAAAATGTTTGTGTGTGTGTGTGTGTGTATGTATATGTATGTGTGTGTGTATGTATGTATGTATGTATATATGTATGTATCGTATGCATTTCTGTTGTATACTATGCGTCCTTCATATTTTTCAATTTTTCCATCCCCAAAATATAACAGTTATAAGGTGAACAAAACAACAATAATAATAATAATGGTAATAATAATAACAACAATAAATAATTATAATCATAATTTTGGTTATAATTATGGTTATAATTATGGTTATAATTATGATTTGGGTGTCGGGGTTTTCCATGGCGGCATTCTCTCGTTCATCTTGTCCAGGTACTTCGCCTCTGCAAATCCGCTAATCTTGTGAGTCAGCGCTACAAAATAATAATAATAATAAGTTATTATTATTATTGTTGTTGTTGTTGCTGTTGTTATTTATTATTATCTACTTGAGTCTTAGTTCAAGTATATGCACACACACACACATACATAGAAACATACAAACACACGTGCGTACAAGCATACACACGCACATACAAACATACACACGCACATACAAGCATACACACACACACACCTACAAACATACAAACACACGTGCGTACAAGCATACACACGCACATACAAACATACACACGCACATACAAGCATACACACACACACACCTACAAACATAGGAACACACACACACAAACATTAATACACCCGAGAGAGCAATGATATTTCAAAAAAACAATAAGGGATGAACTCCAGAAAGCAGAATTAAACTACGCATTTTATAATACGTTTCAACGAATTACAGCACGAACGAACGACGAACAAATGAATGAAGGAAGGAAGAAACAAATGCATACAAAAATGAATGAATGAATGAATGAATGTATATATATAATATAAACAAATCAGGCTGTAAGAAGGGCCAAGTATGAAGAGCTAGCTAGTGAGATAGAACAGCGTCGGTTGAGGTGTTTGTTGCACGCAGTTGAAACCGGTGCCAGAGGTGTTGTTGGTGGTTCAGTGTACAGCTTTTGGAAAGATTTGGGTTTGGCAGTCGTGTGAAGAACATAAGAGGATATGCAGCCGAACAAGCGTCTTATTGAATATGGATGGTTATGTAGGAAGAAAAAGGGATGGGAATTTAAATCGTTAACAGGCGAGCCGAGAGCACGTAAGGCCTCTGATCACTAAACACTCCCAAACTCGGCTTAGCGTGTTACTCGGCTCGTCGAGATAACACTCGTTAACGGAAACTCTTCCTCTGAAGACTCTCGCTGAACGTTCGTTACGTTCGAGTTTCTATATACATACACACATACATACATGCATACATACATGCATACATACATACATGCATGCATGCATACATACATACATACATACATACATACATACATACATACATACATACATACATACATACATACATACATACATACATACATACATGCACACATACATACAAACAAACAAACAAACAAACAAACAAAAAAACAAATACATACATACAAACGCGCATACCTAATTTAAGACTATCCTTGCCACCAGACAGGGCACCAATGGGCAGCAGGCCATTTGGGGTGAGCCCTTTCAGCTGCAGCACACTTTCGCTTTCCTCTCTGATTGGATACATAACAATAACGTGTGATTGACTGGTTGATTGAATGACTGGTTGATTGAATGACTGGTTGATTGATTGGTGTATTGATTGGTTGATTGATGGACTGGATTATTGAATAATTGGTTGGTTAAATAAAAACAGTTGTACACTTCAGTTTCTGAGACCAAACAAATGTAATAAAGAGCACTTATTTAGCGCTAAATTACAAACACACACACACGCACGCACGCATGCACACACACAAAATACTCATTTATATAGTGCCGGATAACATACACGCACACGCAATTTATATAGCGCAAAATTTAAAAAACACCTTAAAACTTGGAAGACTCTCGCCATCTTTCCGATGGCACGGATTTTGTTCTTAATGATCTCTTTGCGAGCTGCTACACTACCTAAATAATTATTCATAATAATAATTATTATTATTATAAATAAAGATAATGATAATAATAATATAAAATAATTACGAGCGATTAGAATTAAGTGAATTGTGTTTTTAGATAATTTATTTTCTGTTAGAAATTATGAAATATAACTATAATTATAGTAAATATAATTATAGTAACTGATAATTATTCTTTCTAGTTAACTGATAATTATTCTTTTTAATATTATTATATAACTACTACTACTATCATCATCATCATCATCATTTATAACCGGAAAAACGTAAAAAAACTTGAAAAAAAAACGCTCATCATGACGTCAATATGTTAAAAACCAAAGAAAAAAAACATAAACAACGATAATAAAAAGAACAATAACTAAGAAATAACAAATAAAAATAATAACAACAATAATATAATAACAACAACAACTAAAGCAAATTCATACAGAAGAGCATGCAAAAACAAACCAACCAACCAGCCAGCCAGTCAGACTTCATAGAGAACTAGGATCATATTACCAGAGGAAGAATAACAATAATAACAACAACAATAACAACAACAATAATAATAGCGATAATAAAGACAATAACAACAATAATAAACAAAAAGTTAAACAGTATGAAGAATGCAACAGAAATAAAATCTCTCAAAGATACATACATACATACATACATACATACATACATACATACATACATACATACATACATACATACATACATACATACATACATACATACATACATACATACATACATACATACATACATACATACATACATACATACATACATACATACATACATACATACATACATACATACATACATACATACATACATACATACATACATACATACATACATACATACATACATACATACATACATACATACATACATACATACATACATACATACATACATACATACATACATACATACATACATACATACATACATACATACATACATACATACATACATACATACATACATACATACATACATACATACATACATACATACATACATACATACATACATACATACATACATAAAAACAAACACATACATACATCACACACACACACATACATACATCACACACACAAACAAACAAACAAACTTATACACATACATTATAATTTGTGTAATAAAATAATAAAAATACAGTGGTTTTTTTCTCTTTTACTGGCGATAATATATAAATTTCCATATTTTTTTTTGTTCACTTTTTAATCTTTGTTATGGCTATCTAAAAAATAAAAACTTATTTTGCAACGATATGAACACTATTTTGGCTGTAGTAGTAGCAGAAGTAGTAGTAGTAGCAGCAGCAGTAGCAGCAGCAGTAGCAGCAGTAGTAGTAGCAGCAGCAACAGCAGCAGCAGCAGTAGTAGTTGTGGTCGTAATAGTAGTCATCTCACTATCAAATTATAAATCCAGGAAGTAAAATTTAGAAAAAATTCCATAATTTCCGCCGACTATGGTTTGAGCTAAGGGGTATGCTGTTCCAAAATGTTTTCATTACGTACAAACATAAAAACGTGCATACACACTTAGCATCTATATATACACACATAAACACGCACGCACATTGTACATACAAACTCGATACTACACACACACACACACACACACACACACATATACAAACATACACACACACACATATACAAACATACACACACACACATAAACACACACGTACGCACATGCAGTTAGGAAGTTAAAACAAAAACAGTAAAACACAAACACGATAAGGTAGAAAACTAATGTTAAAATTCAGGGTGTCGAAGTTAAAAGTTGGATGTTTTTGGAAATTTGAGTTTCTTTCAATCAAAAAATCATCTTCAATCCTGATATGAGATGCTAATAGTGCAAATAAAGTTACATAATTTTCTCTCAGCGTGTTTAGATACGTAGATATGAAGCAATTCTACTTAGAAGAACAATCACATTAGCTGATTTCAAGTGCTTTGTTGGGGCACCATTCATTAGATAGTGCCGTTTAAAAGAGATTGTGATGTCAAAGTTGAAAAACGTTCAGCTGACTTTCTGACAAACGACTCCGACACCCGAGTTAAAATGAACCTCATAAATGATTTCAAACCAAAAAAAAAAAATTAATTAAAACACTCTGAAGAAACTAAAAAGGTGAATTAAATAAAATGAACAATATTCATTAGAAATGTACATCTACGAAGATAGCATACACATTGAGGGTAAAAATCAAGACGGGAATAAACATGAAACAAAAGAAACACATTCAATATATGCAAACGTATGCATATATTTATATAAAAATTAGACTCTCCAATGCGTTTATGTATGCGTGTGTATATGTGAGCGTGTGTACGCGTGTGTGTGTGTGTGTTTTTTCAAACCTGTGTCAACCTCTACCGGTGTATATGGTATAATTTCTTTTCAAAAAATGATATCAATTAATTAAAACAATTGAATAATAATATACATACACAGATACATACATAGAAACTTGCTAACACACACACACACACACACATACATACATAGAAACTAACACACACACACGCACACGTAGATACTAACACACACATACATACAAACAAACAAATAGACATACAAACAGACATACATAATCACAAAATCATTAGTTATAGTTGTATAAAAGTCGTATCTTGAAATATAGCGCAATGTAAGGAGAAGGCGTCAGAGAGAGAAAGAGAGAGAGGGAGAGAAAGAGAGAGAGAAAGACAAGGAGTGGGCAGAAGAATTGGGTCAAGCGGAAATTAAATTTGACCTACTTTCGTCTGCATCGTCTGTATTTTCGAGTTCGGCGTCTGAGCATATGTTGAGGACACTAACCAGCATCTCCGTGACTGACGATGATGAAATTATTATTATTATTATTATTATTATATAATTATTTGTCATTATGGATGTCTATTTTTGTAGAACTACAGCATTTCAGAAACATACACACCGGAAACATTTTTTTTAAAGAAAAGTGACGTCATATCGATCGATAGCGAAGACAACGAACGCTGTAAATATAAACAACAGTAACAAAGATAGAAAAACAAAGATAGAAAAACGAAGAAAAAAAAACATTGGCAACAATAGCATAGGAAGAACGAGAACAGCAGACAAAAAGCTTGAAAAGTATAAATAAAGACCTTCCATCCGATATAAATAGCAGAGATCAAAGGAGGACATATCTTTGAAATTTAAAAGTCAGTTCCGGCAACAACTTATCAAGAAGCAAAAAAAAAAGAGACGCTACATAAATATCAGAAACATCGACGACGACAGCATTATCAACAAAAACGAAGTAAACAACAACAGCAGCATTGCAGGTGGACAAGGATGCAGATTGAAACAATTTCAGTGACATCAACAACTGCAACAGCAACAACAACAGCAATAACAAGGACAACAGCAACATCAACAACAACAACAACGACATCAACAACAACAACATCAACAACAACAACAACAATAGCAACAACAACAACAAGGACAACAACCTTTTTCTCCGACGAAGGGCAGGGACCACGTGAATACATCCATGAAGTTGGGCAACCAGTACGGGTGGGGAGTGCAGTTGAACTGGCGGATGTTCATCACGTTGTTTTCATACTTTAAGATAGCGGCTGGTGGGGTATTTGTGGCGATGATGATGATGATGATAATTGTGGTGGTGGTGGTGATGATGATGACTGTGATGATAATGAGAAAGAAGATGATGATGACGATGAGAAAGAAGAAGTAGAAGTAGAAGAAGATGATGATGATGAGGATTGAGATGATAATGATGATGAGAAAGAAGATGATAATGATGATGAGAAAGAAGATGATGATGATGATGAGAAAGAAGAAGAAGAAGATGATGATGATGACAACGAGAAAGAAGAAGTAGAAGTAGAAGAAGATGATTGTGATGATAATGATGATGAGAAAGAAGATGATGATGATGAAAAAGAAGATGATGATGATGATGAAGATGAAAGCAACTCTGACGTGATAATTGTAGCATAATGAAAAATTGCAATCACCAAATGAAATTTAAACGCTTTCATTACACACAATCGTCATCATCTTCCACCTCCTCCTCCTCCTCCTCATCATCATCATCATCCTCTTCACCATCATCATCACCATCATCATCCCCTCGCTATCTCACCTTTATTATTATAAACGTCAAGGTAATTCGGTGCAGAGAAAATAGTGATAAGAGAGGGGAATCCAGTGGCCTGGCTTTTTCTATACATGCGGTAACTGTATATGTATGTATGTATGTAATGAATGAATGAACGAATGAACGTACGAATGAATGAATGAATGAATGAATGAATGAATGAATGAATGAATGAATGAATGAACGAACGAATGAAATGTATATGTATGCATCTATGTATGTGAATCAATAAAGTAGAAGAGCACCGTGAAAACCATTAAAAACAACACTAGCCATGAAAATAATAATAAAAGCAATAATAAAAACATGAATAATAAAAACAACAATAATAATAATTATTAATAATAGTAACAATAAACGTTAATGAACTAGGTAGCGCTCTGCCTGTCTGTTTGTCTGTCTAACACAGCAAGAATCAAATTAAAACCATGTATTGTATTGTATGTATGTACGTGTGTGTCTGTACGTATGTATGAATGTGTGTGTAACTGTGTGTGTGTGTGTGTTGTGTGTGTGTGTGTGTGTGTGGTGTGTATGTATGCTTGTCAAGATTTTGTGGTGTGCTAGTGCAAACCAAAGTCGTAAAATTTAAATCGTTAAACAACAACAACAGCAGCGTCACCAGCGACAACAGCCGCAACAACAGCAGCGTCACCGGCGACAACTTACCCGGCGTCTTGAGCCTCGTGAGCTCGTATAACTGAAAGTAGATTGTTCTGTTGTAGAAATTCACAGCATGCTGCATAGCTGTCTCGAAAAAATATCAATCAATCAATCAATCAATCAATCAATCAATCTATCTATCTATCAATCAATCAACCAATCATCAATCAATCAATCAACTAATTAACCAATAATAATAATCATAATCATAATATTAATGATGCTAATCAACTGATGATAATAATAATATTATCATCAAATATTATCAACATTTATCATTTATTATTATTATTGAATAATAATAATAATAATATTTATTTATTTATTTATTATATTTTAAAAAATCCTTTTAAAACCCATCAAGTGCCTGTTATAAATGCTTAAAACAAGATGATGAGTCAAGCAAACATAGCATCATAGCATAACTAGTGTGAGACGGACAAACACACATACACACACTAACACACACAAACACACATACATACACAAATGCAATCATAATTACAAAATTTTTTGTTTTCAAACCAATTAAATGATGATAATGAACCCCACAGAGAGTATATAAATACACACAAACACACATACATACACACAAACACACACACAAACACACACACACACATACACACACACATACATACAACGATATTTATATAGCGCCTAGTTATAAATAGTCTTGAAGGTTCCCTTTTTTTTGAAAGATTGTTGAAAGAGAAGGAAAAAATTTCCACAGGCTTTCAGGCCATTCGAAAATGTAATAAGGCTGTTTGGCAGTTGGTGTAAGTTAGCTTGGCGCGATGGTATAACGACGAAGCTGTATGCCAATAACACAAACACTGTACACACATACATACAAAAACATGCATACATACATACATACATACACACGTACAAACACACACACACGTACAAACACAGACAGACACACACAAACACAGACAGACGGACAGACCTATAAAAATAGGAACAGCCTCTGACGCTGTTGTGGCTGAAGTGTTCGGTGGTCTTCTCGTTGCCGAACTCATCGAGCGGATCCGACCAGAGCAGATCGCACACCGGGCCGAAAGAGGGGGGCTCACGGAATCGATCCAACTATTTAGTTTTCACATTTCATAATTAATTAATTAATTAATTAATTGATTAATTAACTAATTAATTAATCAATTGATTGATTTGTTCGTTCGTTCATTCGTGTTTATTACTTCGGTAATCATTTAAATCGTCAGGTTCTCCAACCCTCAAATTCTCACGAAAAATATCCAATCCTTGATTATCACCAAATCCCATCTAGCCAACCAGCCACTCCGAAGTTCCCACTTTCTAAATCGGGGCTAAACCTCCCGACTAAACCTGCCCAGTCCCCAACTTGACCTTCTTGATGTCATCGAGTGTGTGGATCTCCGGACTGAGGCCACCGTGCACGCAGAGGAATTGCTGGTTCATGAGGGCGGCTAGCGGTAGGCAGTCGAACGACTCCATGCACGCTTCGTAAACTTTCTCTGTGTACTTTATTTTGCCTGTGGTGGTTGGTTTGCAGGGCTAGGTCGTAAGGGGGTTGGGGGTAATTTGTGGTGGGCGTATGATTTTATCTGTTTGTCTGCTTGCTTGTTTGTTTGTTTGTTCACTTGATTGAGTGACTAAACGAGTGTGTAATTGAGAGAGTGCGGTTGATTGAGTGATGAATGAAAGAAGGAATGAATGAATGAT